TCCGAATTTACATGTAATACATGATCGTACTGGTCCTGCGCGGCGTCACGCGTCGCGCAGCTACCCTAATTTTTTATATTTATAAAAATTCCGGTTTAATCGCAGGTAATAATGATTACATTTGTTTATTGCACAATACGTAATTACGTAATAATAATTATGGGTCATACGGGTTTAATCGTTTAGATAATAATGATTATATTCATAAATTCTGGATCAATTGTTACGTAATAAACCCTGGATCAATTGATGATTACTGGATTATATTTATTTATTGCATATTGCATATTGCATATTTATGTATACGTATTCGTATACACTCTTATCTATATTTTTTTTTTTTTATTTACAAATATACACTCTTATTTATATTTTTTTTTATTTACAAAAAGAGCAAAACGAATAAGAAAAGCTAATCAAAAGTTTTTAACCTAATTTTTTAAAAATAAAAAAACAAAAATTATAAATATATTTATACATATTTATTTATATTTATATTTATATTTATATATTTATAAATATAAATATAAATAAAAATAAATAAAATATATTTATATATATATATTTAAATACTTTATAATAAATAAAATAAAATATGGATAAGCAATAAAAATAACAAAAAAAAAGAAAAAAAAAACAAAGTGTAATCATAAACAACTACGATTGCATTTATCCTCCTCATTTAGTGGAATCTGTTGTTGAATCATGTGATCTTAAAGCATTACGCAAACATCGACCACCAGATTTTTTACGCTTACGATTTTGTGAACTATTTTCTTGGTAACTGCCACTAGATTCTCCTTCTTCCTGTTCAAGATCAACTGAAGTATTTTTTTCATCCGCGTAGGACTCACGATCTGACTGTTCATCATTAACATCTTCAATTCGTACACGTTTTTGTAAATGTGAATTATCAGATGAATTAAGTTCAGGTTCGTCATGAGAATCATTCAAATTTGATGTAGATGATTTTTCTTTCTCTTTAGCACTTTCTAAAATATTCCGATATGTAACTAAAAGTTTAGAACGAACAGAATTTTCAGGTGCCGAGACAATTTGAGACACAGAATTATCACGAATTTTCTTATTATCAAAACGAGTATCGATATAATTAATATCTGTGGTATAAACATAAAAATCATCACTGAAAATTTCCATTTGCCCAACCACAAAAATTAATGATTCATGAGGACGAACAGTATTCTTTAAATGTGTTAATCTTGAATTACGATAAGGAAAAATAATTTTCATAATAAAATTGCATTCTTCACCGGCATAATCATTGATTAATACTTGGATAATTGCATTTTCATCATTTAAAACTTCTTGGGGCATATTTTGAGGAACTCCCACTAAAGATATTTTGAGTGGACATTTATTCGACGCAACAACTTTATTAAGAATAGTTAAATGCGTAGAAGTAGAAACCGTCATCTAAGAATTGAAATTGATTAACTGTTGCTAACTTTAATTTAAGATTTAATTTACCATACCTTTGCTTTTCTATTTTTTCCATAACGACTGGGTACAATTTTACACCCAACAGAATAGAAATTATCTTTTTCAAAGATAGCTTGCGATTCTGGATCCCTTTCATTTGAATTGGCTGGCACAAATAAAATCATTTCTATTTCATAATCCTCACGTTCTACAGGATATCCTCCAATTGCCCATACCTTTATAAAATCAGTATTTTCATTTTCATGTTTCTTTACGTATTTAACTCTCACAACAGTGCTTGCATAACAAGGCATTTTCTTGGATACCTACCGTGATGCTAAAAAAAAGGAGACTCACTCTTATTAAATACAGCTGTTCAAATTAATACTTACCAAATTAAAATAAATCAAATATATCATAATTACATATAACTAGCTAATTAATACGATTATTTTTATCAAAAAAAAAAAAAAAGCATTTAATAATATTTACATCACTAAATTTATTAATAATAACTATTTCTTTTTACGCTACTTTATGTCTTTTTATGCTATGTAAATGTATATATAATGGTATATATATATATATATATATATTTATTATATATATAAAAGAAAAAAAAACTCCTATATTTATTTAAATTCAAAAAGTAAGTAAAATGCCGAAACGAAAACTTCGTACGAAAAAATGGATAACAGATTATAAACATAAACACCGAGCAAAAAAACAAATTACAACTAAACAAAGAGAACTTACATTAAAAGAAACAAACAATACAACACATAAAGATCAAAGCAATGAAATATCACAGGAAAACCCTCAGCGACAAATAACCACTTTATCTGAACACAGAACTCATAATACAATTCAACATCATGGTCAAGAAAATAATATATCAAAAAATATGTTCTGGTGGGATACGCAATAAACTTTGAATAAAAATGCTTTGATGCCATTAACTTTCTCATGGGATCAAATATGTCCCTACTGTTCAACAGTACTTCTCACTGGTGAACTTGCTGAGTTTTGCTGTAATCGAGGAAAACGCCTTATACCATTATTGCCCCATTATCCTACGAATATGAATATTATTCTTAGTGATCCTAAAATTAGCAGTTTTTCACGAAAACTCAATGCACTTTTCTCTTTCACAGCAATTGGAATTCAAGGTCAATTTGTAAATTTGCCTGCACCATCCTCAGTTTGTATTACAGGACGCACTTACCATCGAATTCTACCTGTAAATAGTCCAAACCATCCGATACACTGGTACATATATGATGAACAAGAACGATATATTGCAGCCAGAAACCGCAAAATACCAGAAGAATGGATTTCAATAGTTAATACTACATTGACCAAAATTAACCCCTATATACATTCATTACGAGTTTTTAAAGACAACTCATATAATGGAATACTTGAACTACGTGAAAATACCTCTACTGGAGAAGTTGCTGCAATTATACATGCCAATAGTATTGCCAATGTACAACCACGTAGTATTATAATCTGGCGTAATACAGATATTACACCTAAATTCATAAACATTCTTAATTCTCAATATGAACCATTGCAATATCCGTTATTTTTTCCCCATGGTACCCCCGGATGGCACCCCAAAAACTTTTACAACCTATCTCAAATTGACTGGTATAGATGTCGATTATTATGTGAGCAACGATTCTTAATATTCGGAAGGCTAACTTGTGAATATTTAGTTGATATGTACTCACGTGTTGAAGAGGAACGTTTAAACTACATTTTAAACAAAAAAAAGCGTCTTTGCCAAGAAAAAAAAAATCAAAATAGAAACAATATAACAATTGAAGAGGATTATAAAAATGAAGATGAAAATGAAAATGGAGATTTACATCTTCCTGCATCATTTTTGGGATCTAAAAGATGGTGCTCATCCCACGTTGCAAATGCTCTTGCCCTTGCCTGATGTAAAGGAAAACCAAGTTTTTTTATTACAATGACCACTAATCCAAACTGGACAGAGATCCGATCTCAATTACAACCCAACCAAAATGCATTAGAAATAGCTCCAATTATTGTACGTGCATTTCATTCACGTCTTAAAAAATTAAAAGATCTATTACGTACATATTTTGGAACAGTTATTTATATGATCGATGTGATAGAGTTTCAAAAACGCGGATTTCCTCATGCTCACATAGTAATGCGTGTACAACCAGAACTACCTGTTGAACAAATTGATAAAATCGTAAGTGCAGAATTACCTCGTGAACAATCACATTTAAAAAATATATGGTGCAGGAAGTCTATACTCAACAGTTACACAAAGTGTTTCAATTTTTTAAATGGCTATAACTTTTTATCT